TTATGCAGTTGTATGTGAAAGTAGATGATATTCGTTGAACACATTTTTACTTATACAACAAAAACTACTTTGAATGGTGCAAAATAACAGAGAAGTAAACATTTACATTCGAACAGCAAACCTTCACTGGATACATTGCACTTTGTCAATAAAGCAAAGTGGCATCATATTCATCGGTGTAGAGCTGCTGTGTCCACATAGATTACAAGTGACATAAGCAGCATCAGTCAAGAATGCCTTATGAAATAGTGTGTCTAATAATGTTTAATCCGTAGTATTGAAGGTAAGCATCGACTAGTTTCCAGTTCGTATAATGTGAAAAAGCAAAGGAACACCATTCAAAGTTCTGAAAACATACATTACAGGAATCACTGTACCTTAAGAACATAAGAGACATATTGTCTGGAGGGATGTCGCCCCACTTTGGAGATCTCCAGTTTGAAGACAGGTTAAACGAACAAAAGACAGGCTGGATGGTCAGCAATTTTCTGTTTCCCTCTGAATTGAAATGGTATCACCAAAAGATACTCAACTTTGCAGATATGTGTCTCCATATATTTTGTCAAAAGGAAATTCAAAGTAGTACATTTCCAAATGCACTGATTTCAGTTGGCAATGATTTATAAATTCATATCTAAATACTACAAACAACCAGCTTTCAAAGTGTAAAGATTTCCAAACATTTTGTAATCTAGCACAGGTTTAGAGTCTAGCAATTAATAATATTTCTTAACAAGTCCTTGAACATGTCAGACGTTTTAGTGTTTGATTTGCAGAAACTGCATGCAAATGTATAATTGCGATCGTTGACATGCGTAGAGTATGTTATCGCCATTCGTAGCAACTGATTCATTGCAGAAAAGATTCCTTTTTTAGATTCGGATAATGAAGTATGGGTAATAAGTTGAGAAATGTTTGGTTATGCAGGACGTTAGATGGTAGAAATGTGAGTCAGTGAATATTCATGACACTAACGCAGTGTTACTATACAGTGTCATTGTGTATGTGTATTACGTTAGGGTGACGTGAACCTTGTTCAAGTGATAATTGCAGTTATGGAAATTTGGGTATGGTTATGTTTGCTCTATCATACGTGCATCTATTCATACACAGGAGAGGGGTGGGATGTGGTTATGAAATGAACCTCCGAACATTTGTTGTTGCTTGTCTTCAGAGCGGCTAGACTGGATCGGATACAACGCTCGGTGTTTGCGCGATCATCATAATATCAACCACTGGTTTGTTTTTTCGTGATTGTTTACAGTTTGACTTGACTGGGATGGAAAAAGCTGAGTGCTTCCTGAAACAATACAAAAATAAAAATGTCAAATAAGTGTCCTTCTACTACACCGCAGTAACACAATAGACTCTAACAGTGAATGAAACAGCAGACTCTAATTGTGAATGACACAGTAGACTCTAATAGTGAATGACACATAACAATAGACTCTAACAGTGAATGAAACAGCAGACTCTAATTGTGAATGACACAGTAGACTCTAATAGTGAATGACACATAACAATAGACTCTAACAGTGAATGAAACAGCAGACTCTAATTGTGAATGACACAGTAGACTCTAATAGTGAATGACACATAACAATAGACTCTAACAGTGAATGAAACAGCAGACTCTAATTGTGAATGACACAGTAGACTCTAATAGTGAATGACACATAACAATAGACTCTAACAGTGAATGAAACAGCAGACTCTAATTGTGAATGACACAGTAGACTCTAATAGTGAATGACACATAACAATAGACTCTAACAGTGAATGAAACAGCAGACTCTAATTGTGAATGACACAGTAGACTCTAATAGTGAATGACACATAACAATAGACTCTAACAGTGAATGAAACAGCAGACTCTAATTGTGAATGACACACATAACAATAGACTCTAACCGTGAATGACACAGTCAAACAGGAGATACTTAGGCCTACGTAGGACCTAGTATCTTCTACTAGATAATGAGACTAAAAAAATCACCGTGGCCTTACTATGCTTCCGTAGTATGCACACTAATCTGTGTCATACATTTGCAGGATGATTGTGGACGCTGATATTTGAAAAAAATCAACATGATTATTTACCCATTCAACCGTCCGGTCTTCATTCTCAGTAAACCATTCAATGTGGTTAAAAACAATCTATATAACAAATAATAATTACAAATATATAAAGATGATTAGAGAAGACTTCCATTGTATCCCGGGCGGTATTCATATCAGCTTATGCTTGTATACCAATCCGGTTCCTTTCATTGGAAATAGATATGTTTAAATCACTAGAGAAAGAGACGAGTATTGCCGCTGATGCAAATCGTTCTGTATGTAGATTTACACAGTATGCGAAGGAAAAGAAACATGATGAAGTCAATCATCTATATGTTAATTCCATCTCTTGTGGAGTCATGGTGGGCCAACCATGTGTCCCCTAAGGCGCTGTGTCCTTTGGGTGTACCGGAAAGATGTTATGCGAATCCCACCTTAGCCTTGATTTCTCGGTGTTTCAACGCCATACCCGTGCTCAGTTTCATTCGCAAAGAAGTGAATGACACTTCGGGTTTGCCTCTCACATCAAACAGACAGTCTTTCAAGCAGCAGGTCTCACTGGGCGAAATCTTTTTCGCTGACAGTTTTAGGAATATTTATTATATTTTACACAATATTCACTTTTATATTTCCAGTTCAGTGCCTCATCTTTACATGTCAGTCTGTCTAATAACGCATGGCAAATACCTTTTCAGATAATCTAAACTTAGTTTGACAAATCTATGGTTTAAAACCAAAAAGGGAAGGACCGGTCGGTCGATCCAATTGTCTACACGAAGACCTTTCCTTTCCAAATAATTGAAATCAAGACCGACAAATCTATTCCAGTTGTCATAGCTATTCCAGACAGTCATCGTGAAAATATTTCCAAAGGCCAAAAACTATATAGCCAAGCCATGTGAGACTTAATTGTAATTATTAATATGACACTAATCGGCAGTCTTAATCCTTATCACTACCGCATTGACTTGTCAGCCACCCTGTGTTACTCTGTCACTTTCATTAATCACTGTATATGACATTTATAGCCTTAATTGATCATCCCCCTTGGCCGTGTCTGCCATCACATCAACTGGTCCAAGGAAGTGCTATTGTTTCTTTATCTGTCCATTGTTGAGTGTTCGCCTGTCCATTGTTGTCAAAAACTGTATACATGCTCACATCTATATTGTCAAGGAGTCCGGTATTCCGACTGTCTGTGTTGGGACGACCGCGATCAGGATAATGCCGCTCGTAGGAAACTCCCTGGGATTGAGCAGGAACTCCGCTCACCTCATGTATGGCTGAGCCGGAAACCCGGCTCATTTCTGTCTTGTATCCTTGTTCGCCATGTCTTGTGTAACCAACTAAAGAAGTTTGAACTCAACCTGTCCTTCATCTTTGTCAACGTATCGCTCGTCTCAATTCCGAGCTTGTTCCCCTTTCGACCATATATACTGGCCACATAAAGAAACTGTGCACAAAGAAAATATAAAGATAGGCAGACAGCGTCTTAATACATAAATAAAGGTGTGAACATAGCAAGTATTGGAGACAATCAAACGCTCAGGTGCCAGGCGACCTGACGTCATTGATGGTGGCCTATGGACTTGCAATGTGTTACTGTACGTGCAGCCCGTGCAGCTGCACACAACATGTGAAACTCAGAAATTGCTGTCACTGTCGAAAGCTTGGTCTTTGGTCATTCAAACGTCCACAAATTCACATGAGAAGTCACATGCAACATCATGCTAAGATTAACATCTGCTCAACGTCATGAAGCCATTGGAATGGTTCGAGCAGGCATGAGCCAACAACAGGTGGCAGCACATTTCCAATGCCATCGTAACACGATATCTGCATTGGTCAGGCGTTATGGAAACAGTTATCACGTCGCCGACCACCCACGTTCTGGGCGTCCCCGAGTAACGGCGCCAAGACAGGACAGATGGATTCGGGTCACTCATCTCAGACACAGGTTCCAGACGGCAGTGACCACGTCCCAAACCATTCCCCAGGCCTTCAATGCTCATGTTGTAGCCTCGTCGATGCACTGCTGTGCTTCACGCGCATGATGGTCATACCCGTTACTGACTTTGTGACTTCGACGTGTGACCCCCTACTCAATTTTGAACTTTTGACGCCATCGTTACGGATATTGTTCATGTTCTTTTGACATGTTGTTGTGGCCCGATACTTCAGCTTATAAAGTGTCTCCATCATTTCGTCTTTTCTGTGTTCCAATTCTGTGTTCCAATTCTGAAAGAATTTTCTGTGTGCACAGTTTCTTTATGTGGCTAGTATATATATACACGTTGCATATAGTGATATATACGCGTTGACACTATCATCGTCTAACATTTTCGAAATGGACATCTGTTATGTTTTGGACAAATGACTTGCTTTTAGAAATGATCAAATGCTAAATGCTGTATTTGAGATTAGTCTGTCGTGATGTTATAGTAATTTTGGATGTGGAGTCCTATCTGGTATATTTGAATCCACACTCTCAAAGTGTGGCGCCTGGCTTCTTCAACTTCCATCGACAGTCAACAGTCTACATGTAGCATTACAGGTCAGGTATATTGTTTTTTAAGGTTATATTGTTCATACCAAGTCTAATTTTCCAGGATATCTGCCACAAATAGGGCTACACTATTTGACGTTGTAGAAGGATTTCTAAGACATAATGTAATGAGTACGTGGTACATGGATACTTATCGCTTCTGCAATATGAAATAACCTTGTGTGCATTTATAGACATAAAAATCTCGCTATTTAACTGTTGTTAAACTGCTATGTTAACAACTCTTGAATTAAAAATCATAATATTGAACATTTGACACACTGAGACAAGGATGGTCAAAACACGTATTTTTGCAAAAACTGACTTCTCCGCGTTATTGGTCATCATGAGAAACGTAAATTCATTGAAGGAAACTTTAACTGGTTTTTTTCAGTTTCATGAGTGAGGAATGTCCGGTCAGTGATGCTTCCCACGCCGAATGAAATCCTAGTCTTGTGCTTAACACACAACAGATCTTTATGAAGCTGAGAGGTGCGGGTCAAATCAAGAAGCAATGAAAGATTCATAATTTGCAAGACACCACCAGTACCTTGTTTCCGTCATCAGTATTCCTCCTATGTGGTTCACTGCATGGTTAGCATTAGCGTGGCATTGTAACCATGACAGCCAATCAGAGTGTATTGTTCCGGGTCATGGTAGCAGTAAGTTTTGGCATAACACTATTTCTAATAGGTTATATCAGCTCTCACTTTAAACCAATCAAAGACCTGGAGGTAGCATTGGACTCTGAAAATACAGAATATCACCACCCTCATCCCATAAGAGTTGACAATTATGAATCCAGATGTCCAAGCGTTCTGCAGAACATGACCCAAGGTCATTGGAGGACAAGACAGCTTACAGAGGCCCAAAAGAATCGATCATATCAGTATTTTTACCAGAAAGGCGTACCCAAATCCCTCCAGAGACCTGACAATCGATGTGGCAACGTAGGCTATACAAACGTGACGACTTTCCTTCGAGCAATTTGCAGTCCCACAGGGCCGACCCCATGCTGCTACAACTTCAAGTGTGTTAAAAAGACAGAAGCCCAATGTCGGTGTAAAAATTGTTGGGATATTCGACAGCAGATTCATGCAGAATATTCCACCTGGACACCATCCGATCCCCGATGTCGGCCACAACAATATAGTGCCAATCAGACCTGCCACTTGTTGGATGGCGGAACTATCCGCTTCTTTGGGGATTCCCTGGTGCAACACATTTACACAGCCTTCCTGATGACTGTTCGAGGCAACTTCAAAGATGGGGGTATTAGGCCAAGCGACACCAGAGGTAAGAATTTGCGTAATCACGGTAAAGTGTTAACTTTCAATCATTAATCCATCATTTTGTAGCAGATATTCATGATAACTTTTCTGATAAGACAACTTATTTGTACAGAAATGTTTGCACTAATGAAGAAAATAAAATCTGTAAGACAATATTTCGCCGGAAAAAAACCCATCGAAATGCCAAACAAATATTTAATGAAACGTACTAAAGAAGATTTTAAGTGCCCTCTTTACGATTTTCAGTTTGGAAGAAGAGATGCCCTGGGATGAACATGTTCAGACAAATAATGTGCATGGGACGATTGGACGCAAGGCCAAATATATGTAGCGGCAGGGTGAAGCTCACCTGGAAGGAACACTACCTCAGCGGGAAATGGCCAGAACTGATCAATGAGGTTACTAACAGCTTAAATAACCGGAGGACCTTGTTCGTAGTTAGCATAGGTATTCATGAAAATTATAACTCGACTAATGTTCAGATGCAATACCTAAAGCCAACTTTGGATAGGTTACGAAAGATTGGCATTCCCTGGCCAAAGGTGTTATTTGTTGATATGAATGCTCCAGGAATAATGAAACGTTCAGATAAACAGTCAAAACCACAAGTCCTTCGATTCAATCAAGATATGGAGAAGTTTCTGAATGAGTATGCGGTACCTGTTTTAAAAACATTTAACATGACGGATGGCGTGCAAAGCTTTGATGGGACACATTATGATTTGGAAGTGAATGTCGTGAAGGCAAACATTCTCTTGAACTATATACAGGAGCTCAGTGATGCTGGTGTTTGGTAGCTGATTGTGATAGTTAACACTTACAATATGCGTCATATATCGTCGTGTGGGATATGTACATGTGGTGATGTAAAATTCTAAATTATATGGCCTTTGAATGTATTCGTGTTATTATCTTTTCAATTAATATATATCGAGGAGGACACATGTCCGTTCTGTCTGTTGATCCTGTGACTCGGACGTATCAGAATCAACCGTTTACATAGTGTGACGGATCTGTGTGTGTGTAATCGGCCCTGGCTTCGAGTGAAATTGCAAGTACTGCTGTAGTCTTGTTGATGCGCCGCAAAGATATAATAAAAGAGATAGACTAAAGCGTTACTGTATGTTGAGGAATGGGGAAGAAATAATTTTTAAACATTACATGATAAAATGTTTGTATTTGGTTCAAAAATCTAAAACGATTGTCCAACAAACAGATTCCCCTGGACCTAAAGGAAAAGAGCATCGAAAATGATTTTAATGGCTAACTGGCTTCGCGCAAAAATACGTAAGCATATCCTGTCGACCGGAAGCACTCAGCACTCACACAAGGTGCACGCATGGATGGTTTGGTAACACAACAAAACAACACCAAGAAGAGCAAAAAGGGAGACTGATAATAACATCTGAAACTAATGTTATAAGCAAACTCCAAAGCCTCCGAGATACGATGACACACATTCATTATGTCATCGATATTCACTTACTTCAATCTAGCTTATCACAAAGAAAAGGCTACAGACATGCTACGTCGAGCACAACAGGACCACGTGTAGGATGAAGATTTACTTCATGCGGACCAGACATTCCGTACCGAGACCGTAAGGAAGCTGAATGTAGTTAAATGCCGTCAGAAATATTCAAGCTCCCATCATGGCGTTTTGCCAGTAAAAATCGAATATTATAAAATTTCAACTACATGACACTTGGTGTTATGTTTTGAAAAACCAACACAGCTATGACTCACAACTTGCATATTAAAACCCAATTCCTAAATACAACCTCTACCCGTGTTGATCCGGGTTAGAATTGGCCTTAAGCAACTCGTGCTTGTCGTAAAAGGCAACTAACGGGATCGGGTGGTCAGGCTCGCTAACTTGATTAACATATGCCATCGTATCCCACTTGCGTAGATTGATGCTTATGCTGTTGATCACCGGTTTGTCTGGTCCAGACTCGATTATTTAAACCGGCGCCATATAGCTGGAATATTGCTGAGTGCGGGGTTAAACAACAAACCAAACCACTGCTAACCTTCACAAAACATGCGCACACTGTGATCACCTCTAGTGAACCAGTACCCCGCGTGATATTTCTGGAATATTGTTAAAGGTCACATGCAACCAAAAAATCAAACATAATTAAAACACAATTATCACTTATTCATGACATATAATATACATTGCTTGTTATGAAAAAACATAAAACAAAATTATAAGCGTACAATCGCAAATCAAAAGTGCAATATTTTGTACTTGAGTTTACTTCCCAAGAAACGAAGCAGCCGGGATACCGAACCCAGTCAGAGCGGGTGGATGTGCACTCAAGTGTAACGGCTGGTTCATTTGCAGAAGCCCTCACGGCTCATTGTGTGTGTGTATATAGAGATGTTGGGTTTTGTAAATACATGCTCATTTTTTGTGTATAGCATTTTGCAATCAACAGACATCATAATATGTCATGTGTACAAGTATCACACCTGCCTGTCTGTGTAATTACATAATGTGACAGAGACCGAACTCGGGCCATAAATCAATGCATTTTGTTTATGGTGTATAGCCTGATTGGTGTTAAGTTCAAATTGCATGTGGTCAGTGATTGAAATTGTGTATTGAATAGTGTCATTAGCAGACGGGCAGGCAGACACATAAGTGGCAATAAAACAGACATTGATTTTTGTCTATGACAACGACATATCTATATCACAATTAGAAATTCTGTCGACGCTAAATAATGACATTGCTTTTAAGTATCGAACTGAGAAAGTGACTCGGTAAGAAGGACGTGTGGTGAAATAGACAAATGAAATTATATAAACAGTTAAATCGGTAATCTACTGTAATAACATATAAAAATCTCGCGCCTTTGAAATATCAACAAAACATTAGAAAAATAGCTCACCCCAAAGCCTTCACCGAATATACACCCGACAACCCGCTTCCAAGCTCCGCGAACCTATTTCACTGCGCATGTGCTATGAGCGCAGCCCAGCTGTTGAAACCACTTCACTTCCCCCAAGCGCTGGGGGGAACGTTAGTGAATCGTTTGAACTACGATTTCGCGCGGATTTTTTCATCGCGTTATTTTTCAACTTTATAAGTTGAATTTGCATTTTTGATGATTTGTTTCGGTAAGTCCATACCGAAAGCTATCAGAATCTGGAAAGTTGTGTTTTACGTTGCATGTGACCTTTAAAAGCGGCGTAAAACCAAACTCACTCACTCTAGTGAGCCATTCCATTTTTATAGATTATGTTGTAGTAATGTCCTTGTTTCCCTATAGTTACTACCGTTGTAAATGTGGAGGCAAAGCCCTTTCCATGTTCAGAAACCGGAAATCTCTACTAAAAGCAGAGTCGATCGGCCGCTTCCGACTCTACCATGAGTATGTACTTATTAATCACTTTCAAACAGTGTTCGCAAAAAGTGTGAGCGTGTCCTGTCCCAACTGTGGCACCTGTCACAAATACATGCAACACAAGTCAAAGTAAATTTTAATCTGTTTTCAGTTTCGTCGTAGCAGCATATTGTCTGGGGAAAGGTGAATGGAGAATAACATGAAGATTTACCACTTAGGTCAACCCCTACTTTGGTCCTGACGAAATCATAGATCACATATCTCGAGTTGAGCGAAGTAGGATTTACCAGGCTGTAACAAGACTTCAACGATTCATAACTCGCAAGAGAGCATCAGGACGAGATTGTCGCCCCTTTACCTTCGGGATAGTTTCTTACATAGTAATAATGACGACACGATACGCTGCTTCATTCAGGAGCATGCTTGTCACAGTATTTGGCATGATTTTGTTTGTAATGGGATATATCAGCTCACACATTAAACCAATCAAAGACCTGGAGGAAGCACTGGACTCCAAAAATACAGAATATTATCACCCTGATCCCATAAGAGTTGACAATTATGAATCCAGATGTCCAAGTGTTCTGCAGAACATGACCCAAGGTCATTGGAGGACGAAAAACCTTAGCCAGGCTCAAAAGGGACAATCAGAATCCTTCTATTACATGGCCTTGAACCACAAAGGAATACCCAAATCCCTCCAGAGACCTGACAATCGATGTGGTGACATAGGATACGCAAACGTGACAAGATTCCTTCGAGCGATTTGCAGTCCCACAGGACCGACCCCATGCTGCTACAACTTCAAGTGTGTTAAAAAGACAGAAGCCCAATGTCGGTGTAAAAATTGTTGGGATATTCGACAGCAGATTCATGCAGAATATTCCACCTGGACACCATCCGATCCCCGATGTCGGCCACAACAATATAGTGCCAATCAGGCTTGCAACTTGTTGGATGGTGGAACCATCCGCTTCATAGGAGATTCCCTGGTGCGACACATTTACACAGGCTTTCTGATGACTATTCGAGGCAACTTCAAAGATGGCGGTGTTAAACCCACTGAATCCAAAAGTAAGAATTTGCTTAATGGCAGTAAAAGTGGATGTTTCAAATTCTTTAATTCAGCCTTTTGTTGCAGATATTAGTGTTCACTTGCTTTTTCAATGGTGTGACTACTTGTTCATAACTGTCGCTTAAATGAACTAAATAATAACATTCATAATAGTCTTCACTGGTGCACTGCATCCTGTAAAGGTCATTTAAATATTCTGCCTTACATGTCAATCAAAATATTACAGACAGATATTAATATTTAGTAAAAGGCAATTGGCCTAAAATAAATACATGTAGCCTATGACCTGCGGAAATATACAATAAACATATTTACAATTGTATAAATTCATAAATATTGAAACCATATTTACAGAATTACAAATATATTTTTTGAAACATGGAATTGTGGAGTATATATAGTTTAAAGGTACATTGTGCTTTAGTTCTTTAACCTTTATGGAGGAGTGTTGTGCATAACATCATATTTAACAGGGGAAATTAAATTTCATTTAAGAGTGTTGAGAAGTGGAAGTAATATGTGTATCTATTAGTGCAAATGATCATTATAATCAGAGATTAACAATATATACTGTTCATTTTCAATAAGATGTCTATCTTTAGATACGTAGAATGGACAGAACCTTTCGTTATATGGTGTCTTTCAGTGTTGATAACATTTCTGAATCGGAATCATGTTAAACTACCGTTAGGCGGATGGGTAAAGAGTTATTTATATAGAATTCAACATTAAAGAGAGGTTGAAACTGTAAGTCTGATGATTCACATTTGAACACGAGTACTGTCGGAGATTGTCAGAGACAAACACAGATTTATAGTTATTTTTTATCACTTCTTTGAGTGGCATATTTAGAAGTTGATGAATCAGATAAGGAAAAACGTTATGGATAAAACAACTTCTTTATTCGAGTGATGCGACGTTTCTAAACAGATTCTTGTATCATTATCAAGCAAGCATACATGCTTGACAAAACGTCGCATCGCCTGAATAAAGAAGTTGTTTTATCCATAATGTTTGTCCTTATCTATTGTTATCACCAACACCGTGGGATATCCAAGCACACCTAAATTCAACTCTGAAGAAAACATTCTGCATCAAGTGATTACACTTAAAGATCTAGTCATATGTAAAGGTGAATGTTTTGTAATGTCTTCTTTATCATTTTCAGGGTGGAAAAGTGCATGCTCAGGGATGGACATGTTCGAGGAAAGAAACTGCAGAAAACGACTTGATTCAAAGCCAACAAATATATGCAGAGGCAGGGTGAAGCTCAGCTGGAAGAAACACTATGCCAGTAGACGCTGGGGAGAACTGATCAATGACGTCACTGAAGGCTTAGCTGACCGGAGGACCTTGTTCGTAGTTGGTATAGGTATTCATGAAGATTATAACTCGACTAAAGTTAAGATGCAATACCTAAAGCCAACTTTGGATAGGTTACGAAAGATTGGCATTTTATGGCCAAAGGTATTATTTGTTGATATGAATGCTCCAGGAATTATGAAACGTTCAGATACCCAGTCAAAACCACACGTCCTTCGATTTAATCGAGATATGGAGAAGTTTCTGAATGAGTATGAGATACCTGTTTTAAAGACATATAACATGACGGACGGCGTGCGAAGCTTTGATGGGACACATTATGCGTTGGGAGTGAATGTCTTGAAGGCCAACATTCTCTTGAACTATATACAGGAGCTCAGTGATGCTGCTGCTTGGTAGCTGATTGCGATAGTTAACACTTACAATATATTGTTGTGTGGGGTATATACGTTTTGTGGTGCTGTAAAATTGTAGATTACAAGGGCTTTAAATGTATTCGTGTGGGATGACCTTTTATTTGCGAGGACGAATGTATGAGGATCGACTTGACCATGTCGCCATAATCTGGTCACGTGATAATTCCGAGGACCAATGTATCGGCTTTTCATGGCACAGTGTATCTGATTGAGTGTCGCACTGATCTGGTCACGTGATAATTCCGACGTTTTGGCACACATCTTTTACATACATCTGTTACCGTACTTTTGCTCCAGTGTATACTAGCTGATTTGTTCTTGGAATATTATGTACATAGAGAGGCAAAGATGGTCGTTCGGTCTGTTCCTATAGCAGGTTTTGCAGGTGCTTGTAGTATAAGTCAGAACAGGAACTGAACGAGCCCCAATATCATCGTCATTTGTATGGGTGAGAATGCACTGTCCTGCGGTTGTTAAGGTGCTGGAACATGCAGCATTGAACAATACACTCACTGCATATTTGAATAAAAAAAATCCAGACCGAAAGTTGTTCTGTTATTGCTTTTACATTTTTTACATGGGGTGTCCGTCATGTCAAGAACGGCGAGGTGAAATTGACATGTTGGAAGTTGGAACAAGACAGACCATTGTGGGACGAGTTCACAGACAGTACTAAGCAGATTACAGTCACGATATAGACAGTCAAATAACGTTAATGAGAGACGTCGATCTGCTCTTATCAAGCGCGACAACCAGCGCAAATGACCGTTTCAAACGGCTGCTTTACGAAACAGTGGTTAAGGTGCATCTCAAATTGGAGATGAGCTTCACAGAGTGTGTGGACAGACGATTCGAAATCGGCTACACATATAAACCGACATCCTCGTGTGTGTGACCGTCACATTTCTGCAAGACGTTTTTGGTGTCAGAGTGGCAGCGCGGGACCAATCGTTGTTGGGCAAACGACATGTTTTGGAATGAATCAAGGTTTGCTTTGCAGTTCCATGACATTCGCTGCAGAGAGTAGCGAAGACAGAATGGGAGTTTCAGGTCGTTAACGTTAGACAGAACGATCGATTTGTAGCGGTTAAGTAATGCTGTAAGGTGGGATCGCTATGACTGGAAGAACATCTTTACGTGTTGTTTACCACGTGTCATTTGGCAGTACTTGCGTGGCAACATGTACGTCGTTTTGTTTACGACGTGTCATTTGGCAGTACTTGCGTGGCAACATGTACGTCGTTTTGTTTTCGGGAGGACAACGCACGGAGCACACAGAGTGAGTGAGTGAGTTTAGTTTTACGCCACATTCAGCAATATTCCAGTTATATCACGGCGGTCTGTAACTAATCGAGTCTAGACAAGACAATCCAGTGATCCACAGCACGAGCATCGATCTGCGCAGTTGGGAACCGATGACATGTGTCAACCAAGCCAGCGAGCCTGACCACCCGATCCCGTCAGTCGCCTCTTACGACAAGCATGGGTTACTGAAGATTCATTCTAACCCGGACCTTCACGGGTCCAAGAGCACACAGGGCTCGTTTCGTTACTGCGTATCTCCAACCGGAGAACATAACCAATTAGTCAGTCTAGACTTGTCACCCATCAAACATGTCTGTGATATCCTCAGACGGCGCGTATACGTCACCGTCAACAACACCGCGCCGACCATTCTCAACGATGAACCAATTAAACATTGGACGTTTGATTAAGAATATGCCTCGTCGAATTCGAGATGTTTTGTTGTTGGTTTTTTAAATTTTTATTTATTTTTTTAATTTTTTTTTATTATTTCCACTTTCTGGTTACTTCCATTCAAGACATATTAATACATATATGTGAATATATATGTATATATAGATGGATACAATTTTGAATTGTCATTTAGATGTCATATCTAAAGCATTACACAGGATTGCTGAAAAGCATATGTAGAGACGACCCAAAGGCATGAAAGCTTGCCTGTTTACAGTTTGAGAATGCTATAAATTTTGTTGTTTGGTAGTATCTATATATTTCTTGTTGTAAAGGTTTAAAATTTGGTTGACGTTCTTAATAGTACATCTGTAAAGCATATACTTTGTTATAAGAATAATTTCATTCAAAGGGTTATTCATACTTAAATCTAAATAATATATTCTCTTCGTTGAATTCGATGTTTCCTTCAGTATATTTTGCAAGCCATTCTGAAAGTTGTCTCCTTATGGTGTTTGCATACTGACAGGCATATAAAACGTGTACAATGGTTTCAAGTGGGTCATTACATAGAGAGCATGCTGGGGATTCGACGTATCCCATCTTAAATAATAAGTTATTGGGATTGAGTAACTTACTATTTAAGACGGTTTCAAGTTAAAATCATTTATAATATATGGAGTAACTCAATATATCATGAATGATTTTAAATTGAAACCAACTATTTTGTGTACATATTTTTGCCATAAGATTAATATTCTTCCACTCTGTGTCAGTGTAATCTTTTTGTACATAATCTTCACATTTCAACAGTGTTTGGAACTTTGTAAATGTTGGGTCTAATAAATTCATATAAAATGCTGAACAGCCTTATTGACTGTTTATTTTTGACATATTATAAGGCAGAATGGGCCGAAAATTGGGTTCAACATAAGAGTTGTTGTTGTATAAAAAAGATTACACTGATTCTAAGATTCTTGACTCCCTCATAAGTCAAAAAGTCTGTTTTTATGTTATATCCTTTTGCAAGGTTTTATAATCATATATTTTTCCATCATCATCGATCATGTCTCTAAAATATGTTACACCCTTTTTATGTCATTGCTGTATATAAATAGTTTCACTCCCAATTCTAATAGCATTGTTATACCAAATAGATTTGGACATTATCTGTTCGTCACTTCTGTTTTCACAATTATCACAGCAATACAAGTATGTTGACCAGGGGTATTCCCGTGAAGTAGAATTTGGTTATTACAGTATTATCTCCTTGATGTTGTGCCGGTGTTGATATAAAAGTTTAAATCACTGGGTGCTGTAAAATTCTGAACTATGTTGTGGAATATGATTTGAATTTACTGAGTTTAGCTCACTGAAATTATGACGATACTGATTAATGTGTTGATTTAAACAGTATTTTTTTTCCATTAATGTTTACATTTTTCATAATACACAACATAACAAAATGGAAATAGGATTAGCAAACAGGCCATATGGCCTATGTCAATGCTTCTTCGCATATAATTCGTTATTATCTTGACTTAATTCTATGGAGCAGACATTAGGACATTAATGAATGAATCAAAACAAAATAAAAATAAAGAAAAAAGAAAATAAAGAACAAGATACCAAGTGCATTTTATGTTTATAGGTTGTTACTTGAATTCCGTAAAGCGGTTAGTTTCAGTTATATAATTCTGAACGGATTTTATAAGGTTTTCATTGTCTAAAGGAGATGAATCGTCATTGCCGTGAAGTATAGTATATATGCTGAGGTGGTTAAGGACAAAGTATTTGTCGAGTCTAAACTGGGCATAGCGGGGACATGACAGAAAAAATGGATAGCATCTTCTCTGTTGTGGCCACATGAACAAGTGGGATCATCAATCAGGAATCTGTCAAATAAGTGTGCTTTTAAATCACTACAACCTAGCCTAATTATGGATAGGATCACTTGGTATTGTCGCTGGCCATAACTAGCAATGTATATAAAATTTGAAGAAATCTGAATGTCTGTGGGATATTGATATCAAGTGCATTCCATGATTTAACAACAGAAGGCAGGAAAGATCGGTTATACTGGGATAAGCGCCCTGCATTTGTCTGAAAGTCGTTGGAGTTACGAAGGTTGTATCCTGTTATGCTGGAGATACTAGGTGGGACCCATAATGATAGGTATTTAGGAGTCAGCCCATTGACCATTTTGTAATATATACATAATTTATGATAATGTCGTCTGTCAGACAATGAGCAAAAACCCAATTAATGTGTTCACTCAATCAGTGCAATACAGTACGCTTACATGTCTTACATATTGTATAAATACCATCCAGTTACAATAGCTAGTATCATTTTCATAATGGCTCATGCACAGTTAAGAGAGTTCGATTACAAGTTACATGTACAGAGTAAACAAGAGGAAAGCAGACGATGTATCTCTAGAAAATTGAAACTGCTACAATGTCAACCATCAATGATGTTGTATCAAATTACCCTACAGCACACATCCACGAACGAGTGCAGAATGATATAAAGGTATGTAATAAAAAGATTAAAAGATTTAATGCTTGTTATCGAATATGTATTTAGAATTGTGTAATATGAATGTAATATTGTCATTCATGTAATTTAATATAGTAATGTTTCACGAAATAGTAATGTATAATTCCATACGTTCCATATGGTGAAGAACCAACTATACAAGGCCAGACGATCTAGCTTCCCCGCTGTTCCCAAATGCTTGGAGGACATCCCCATCCCACATGTTTACCTGAGGACAGACTCGGGAGAACAGTTCCTGGTGATCGATGATGGAGGTAGTTACAAGATACTTGGTTTCACCACCAGAACCAATCTGGAGCATGTCTGCGCTGCCGAAGTTACATACATTGTACGGGGATGGTACATTCTACCTCTCGCCAAATTTCTTCCTCCAACTGTATTCCATCCATTCGAAGATTGCCGACCAAATATGTCCATTGGTATTTCTCCTGCTTCCAAACAGGACCAAAATTTTGTGGTTTTGCATTTTTAGTTGGAACTTGTCTGGCTCAAAATCCTAAAATCCTAGTAGACAAGCCCCTGGACAACAGATGTCTGCAGGTGGCAGGCTACATAACCTCGAACTGGGTTGAGCCTAACATCAGAGAATGGAACCACCATGACACTTACGGGCCAGAACAAACAACAGCTTGGAGGGATGGTATAGAAGATTAAAGAAGATCGTTGGAAAGGCCCTCACCCAACGTTTACCTTCCTAGCTTGAAGTAATATCATCCCAATAACATTGTTTTTGTTCTAGATCTTTCATATGTGTGCTAATCCTTTTATGTTTTAAGCTTATATTTTATACATCTTATGCACATATTGTTTAGTGTGTCTCATTGGCCATTTGGCCTGGTGTTTGTATATTTTATGTTTTCCCACCTGTCTTTTTAATTGAAATGTACATTCATATGGCATAAAAAAAACTGTTTTGTCTGTCTGTCTTTTGTCAGTCAGTAATGTAATATGTGTAATATGAATTGTGACGCTATAGTTATAGTGATAAAATAATTGATTAACCATGTCAGAATTGAATTGAACATGTTTGGTGCATTATTTGATACATTGATATTTCATATGATATGTTTCATCTTGTGATTAAATGTGGTAACACCAAATAAATTATGTCATAAAATGTCAAATATCAGTTTAGATTTATTTCATTTCTTTACCACTTCAACTTTTCTTATCAACCTTGTGCCTGTAAAAACATAGAATGGCCTTTGTTCGTGATCACCAGATCATGAAGGTAATCCCCCAAGCTCACTCCTGTGTTTTTAGAATTCTACTTCATGGGAA